TATATACATTTTTCTCCATTGAGTTCAGAATTGTTTTGAATAAAAGATGTTCAGTAGTCATGTGTTCTTTTTAGGGACACTGGAATTGCCTTAGTCAACAAAGCCAAGCCATTCATGGATCATAATAAATGTACTTGCACAATTCACATCTCTGATGGATCAAGAAAAATCTGTGAGGATTTTGGAATACTGTTTATGTATTTTTATATAATACTTGTAAAAATATTACACATCTATCCCAAAACAAATAAAAAAATACTACAAGTGTCAAAACAATGTAAAGTTTGATTAATCAAAACGATTTGTTGTAACTTGTAAATACAAAACTTAAGATATTAAAATATCTATAAACATGTGGCAAATAAGAAAACTTTTGTCATATTTTTCACATTTTATTTAGATCTCACCTCAGATTTTATTCATTATTAATTGCTCCATGAGTTCTTCAACATAATAGACAAAAAATGTAATTTAACTGTTTACTGATGAACCAGTAATATGTTCAGAGCCACCTTATAAAAATATTTTGTTGATACAAATTTCATTTTTAAACAGTATTAAAAGCATAAAACTATTTTAGATTTCCAGACACATATAGTTTCAAAATCTAACATAAAAACTGCAGAAAAACTGCTCCTTTCATTTAAATACAGAAAAACACAACCTGGTTACCAAGTGTGTTTTTGTTTAAATAGGTGGTCTGAACCCCCTGGTGGTAGTAGGAGTGAAGATTGAGGCAAGAAAATGTCATGATCACAGAGATGAACTACTTTTAGTCTTCCTCTTCAGATTCTGTAAACACAAAAAATTAAGAATTACAACTCTTATAAAACGTAAGTAGGAATTATTTTATATTTTCCTAATTATTCCACTCATTTACTTCAGAATAATTTAACCTTCAAATTCTCTAACTTTTTCAGTACAGGACCCTCTTCTTTGTGAAGGTGAACATTCAAAAACCCCATCAGGTAACTACAATTTAACAGAGAATAATTACTATTATAAAAACATTTTCTTTTGTTCAATAACACACTTCAACAAATAGTTTATTTTTAATTTATTTCATAACTTTAAAACATTCAATTACCAAATATATATAAAACATTAAAAAGGTGTCAGGCATGGCCTAGTATTTAGCAAGTCCACACTGCAAATCCAAGGATTTACGATTTACATCTCAATGCTGAAAAAACGAGCTCCATTCTTTGAGTGAGATATAAAGAGTTGGTGGTAGGTGTTGTTGACTAGTGATCTTCCATCTTGTATAGCAGTTCAAAATCAGAGTCAGCCAAGCACAAATATATCTTGTTTAGCTATAAACAAAAATCTGAACCTAACTAATGAAGAACATGAAGCAACTTTCTTTGAAGTATGTATTTACAAATAAAAAACCTTCAAAGACATTTGTTGCAACTTTTCAAACCTTTATCAAGATGAACAGTTTGAGAACATGATATAACCTTACAATACTTTTTTTGTAATATTTTTTCTATAGCTTTCTATACAGGAATTCTCACTTATACCTATCTCTGGTTGATTTTTTTTAACTCTTTCTACGATGTTTGACAAAATTACTTGAAACTTATCATGCAGAATATACATACAAGAAAAACATTTAAGAGTTGCGAGAGAGCCTCAAAACATAGGAGGTCAAGAAATATGAGGGCTCTCAGGTTTTATTAAACCAATATACCTGAAAATTAGTATTAATGTAAGGAGCTCTACAAAATAGTAATCCAAATTAATATTTCTGAAATGTTCATGTTGGAACTGCAAATGGAATATTAAGAAGGTTTTAGGAGATACTGGATTGGCTGAACAGAGTTGCATGAAAATTAGCATGGACATGCATGGAATCATTCAAAATAAGTATATATATTTTTTCAAAACTTTTATACTGGAACTTACTAGCGATGACTCTTACAACTGTCTATAAAGATTTACTTGAAACTGATAAAAACAAGAAAACAGTCATTCAAAACAATGTGTGGAAAACTACAAATGTTGAGTTTTTATTGAAATTTTAATGGTAGTTTACTAGTTAATAAATATCTGTTTTAACATAAATAGTATTGGTACCTTAGTTACACATTTAATGTTTTTTATGGTAAACATTGCTATAACTCTGTAAATACCTTGTTTTAACCCTTAATTAAACAATACAGTATTCCAAAAACATATAACACTGAAAACAAAATATGATTACAAATAAACAACAAAATAATTACCACTGTTTATCAATTTTTTCTTTCTTTCTTACTCCTTAATAAACACACAATCTCCATCTATGTACAAACATCAATTAAATAAAAGCTACTCTTGTACCACTGACACTTGGAATACATATTCTATCTCCATGTACTCTTTAGTAGTTGTAAGTTTGTAAGTGTATTGCTAAGTGACTTCACAAATATGTTTGTGGTTAGTGGCATAGATACTTTTCTTAAGTCTTATCTACCACATCATTGGATGTATTACTGGCTTGACACCTAGTTTTGGAGTATATACATCAAGAGTAATTATACCATTATTTACAGTGCAGGTTGTTACTATTTACATGGTGGTTACAGAAAGTTCATTTCTTGGCTACTAAAGTTTCATTTAACACCTTTCTCTCCCTCTTCTCCCCAGATGCAAATTGTCAGTTTAGTATAAAAACTGTAATCACCACAATGTTCTTTCTTTTTCACTACCTGTTTTAGAAATGCCACTGCCCCATAAAAATGAGAGTAAAATGCCTTATTCCTGTTCAAAAGGCTTAAGTTTTATAAAATGTCACTATTATCATGCACCAAATACCACTGACACAAATCATTAGTGGCATTAGCATATTTCTTGTAAATGCAATGTAACCTAAACTTGTGAACTTGAATTTTGATACCTCAAAGTTAACAGAAGTTCAAAGTTAGCTGTTTTTGAAATTCAGAAATTTCACTTCTGTAAACAGTGATGGTTAACAGTAGCTCCCATCTGTAGTTTACTTTGAAAGCATGAATGATTTCTTGAACAAGGGACTGGATTAGGGTCATGGTATTTTTTGGGAGATACAGAACCTTTATCTTTTCATCCTTGGATACGAGGCTGTCAGCAGGTGGGTGAGTCAGACAGTTATCTAAAAGCAACAATACCTTCATTTCCAAGTGTTTCTTTTTCAAATGCTGGTACACCAATGGAACAAAACTGTCATGAAACCAGATCAAAAATAAGTTGGCATACATCTAGGCATTTGAGCTGCTCTTGCATTCTATAGGATGTTTTTTTTTACATTTACAAATTTAAAGCATCGTAGACTTTTACTTTTCCCGATAAACAAAGGTGGCCACATATGTGTTCCTGCTTTATTTAAACAAAACAAAAACATAATCTGCATGACTCTGTCCTTATTTAACTTCAAACCTGCTTTGTTCAGAGCTGATTTCAGTAATCTGTTAATAAAACATCACTAAAGACTGAACTAGAGTTGAGAAAGACACACAGCGAAAGGTTACTCACTAGGCGAGTTCACTGTAGAACATAGTGGGAGGAAGGAAGACCTGTGGTATATCCACGATATAAATGAGAGCATTATAACTAGGGAGCACTGAATATATATATTCATATATACACATGTAAGAATTGCTGTATCTAAACTACTTTAAAAATGCTATGACAATAGCAGCTACATACAACCATCAAAATTATCCACATACACAAGCAAGTTCTTGAAAACATAACATGTAACTGATGTACATATAAACTCATAAATATGAATTGTCTTGAGACTAGAGACAGCCTCAAGCTGTAAAAAAAAAAACCTTTGAGAAAACAAAAAACTTCCATTTGAACAATATGTTAGAATTCAGTATTTTATTCCCAGCAACTTAGTTCGACAAGCCCCAGTATGAAGCTTTAGCATACAACAAATGGGAAAATATAACATAAACATCCATGTTAGCTTCAAAGTATATCCAAACAAACCTTCTTCCGCATTGTGAAGCCACTCCACAAACTTCTTCATCTGTTCTAAAAAGACTGTTTTGCCCTTGGAGGAGTGGGCTTCTTTGTACCACTTCAAAATGACATCCTCACTCAAAACATCAGCTATAAATATACATAAGTACCACTGACTTACCACAAACTGACAAGAATAAATAAAAAGTAAACTAACAAAATATTAGTAACATTACATGTTGTTGAAATTAGTAAAATAATAAGTAAAAATCAAAAATAAAATACAGAAAATTAGAGGAATGATATTTCTTGGTATTCTAACTATGAAATGCAAGATATAGATGGTATTGTCTGTCTATCATATAAAATAATAACTTAACACGAATCTTGACAAAACATGCTTGTTTATAATAATAATATCAACTATTTATACATATTACCCTTCTACCTAATATAATACTATAACAACATACAGG